CCCACCTTTCTTCTTTCCTTCCTTCCTTCCTCATCATCCGTTCCATTCATTCCAGCAATGAAGGTACCAAGAAGCTGGCATAGGGATGCTTTGACCTGTGCCCTCCCTAGAGTCTTTAAAATAAACAATACTCAGTTCCTCCATCTTCTGTACAGCGGAGGTGAACGCAGCTTGCAGACACAGGCCTTCCTGCAAACCCCGTTCTGTGTCCAAGGGTCTAATGGGAGTCCAGCTCTGTAGAAACCTCAAAACTGCCTCTGAATTCAAGGACCACCTCTTAGTGCCCATTCTGTTCCCAGCTCTGTGGGGCCCAAAGTAAAGCGAGCCAGTATCTGGTCCCACTGAGCCGGGGAAGAAAGGACAGTGGTGTGAGCAGCCAGCCATGTCAGTGTGACTGTGCGCGGTCACAGTGCTGTGAGTACATGGGGACAGTCACCGGTTGTTCAAGGGTAAGCAGGGAAGGCTTCATAGAGGAGGTGATAGATGGGAATAAGTCTTTAAAGATGCATAAAATCACAGGCAGCACAGGGATGGGAGGACATTTCTAAAAGGCCAAAGGCCATGTGCAAATGCAAGGATGTATATTTAGCAGCAGAGAGTCCCCCCACCCCCACCCCCACCAGCCTTGTGACCCAAAAAAGAAAATGGGGGAAGATTGAGCTGATAAGGCCAGTAAGGTGTGGGGCCTTAAATGTCAGCTTATGTTTGGACTCCACCCCTTGGAAACAGAACCGTGGATGGTTTCTGCCCAGGGGTCCACCTGCCTGAGAACAAGCTATGTATCCTCTCCCTCTTTCAAGGTCACGAGGAGAGAAAGTACATGAGGTAGAGGTGCTAACCATGCTCACCAGGGCACCAACCTGTGGAACAGCCTGTGTCCAATCCCAGAGCGCCCAGCCTTAACTCTGCCTCATTCTCCTGCTCCCTGCTCCCTGCAGCACCATCACCAACCTTGAACTTTCGTTTAAATTGACTGCATTACTGTAAGCTGAATCACACGGCCATGCTCTGTGCTCACTGCCCCTTCTGTCTTCTGTTTCATATCCCCTCCTGCCCACAATCATCACCTGGCACAAGCCATTGTCTTAATGCCTCCTGATTGTGCCGAGCACACTGCCTTAAGGTCTCTGACACGCATCACCCGTTGTACCTAGATCAGGGGTGGGCAAACTTTTTGACTAGAGGGCCACAATGGGTTCTTAAACTGGACGGGAGGGCCGGAACAAAAGCATGGATGGAGTGTTTGTGTGAACTAATATAAATTCAAAGTAAACATCATTACATAAAAGGGTACGGTCTGATCCGGCCCGCGGGCCGTAGTTTGCCCACGGCTGGCCTAGATGATGAGCTCCCCAAGGTCTAGGAAGATGCCCTATTCACCTGTGCAGCCACAGGGCCTTCTGCAACCTTTAATAGGTCCTGGACATTCCATTCACTCATTCATCACTCAAAGGATATTTCTTCTATTCACTCAAGACCTGTTTGTTAACAAAAGGTGGAGTGAATAGGTAGAGTTATGGAATGAACTTGGCTATTAAGTGAAGAAAAATGAACACATGGATGAGGAAATCAATGAGTAGGTGAATGAATGAAGAAATGAGGGGATGAATGAATGAGTGCATGCCAAGGAAACAAATAAAATATTTGGAAGGGCTAATACAGGCTGAAGCTCCCATCTGGGAAAACAGCTGCAAGGAGACAAGATTCAGAAGAGAAAGGGGGGCCCTCTCTGGGCCTCTCCTGGGCCGGCACGAGGAGGAGCCAATGGTGTTGGGAATTTCTGTGTCCGTGGGTGAAGGGTGGCCCATCCCCAGCATGTAGCTGCGGGCTGACTTGCATAGTCCACCAGAGATGTTCTGTGTGAGCTCAGGGGAAGTTTAAGAGGCTTCCAGAGAACCCCAACTCTCCCTCCCAGAGCCCCAGGCTCCAGGCCCCATGATTCTGCTGGGCCCCCAGGGGAGTAGGAAATTGACCCCAATTTCCTGGAGCCTTGGCCCGAGGCTATGATGCACTTGGCCTCCAGCCCCTGCAGGGCTGCAGACCTCAGCACTACGTGGGCCAGAGCTGGCTGGGGAGCTCAGTTTGCAACAGAGAATGTATCAGAACTCGCTGGAATCTGCTTGGGGAATTTCAAACCGGGAAGGCTCCACCATAAAAGGCGGGAGCATGAAGGCACTAGTCTTGCTGCCTCCAGTCTCTCTCTCCTGCCCAGCTCATCTGGCACTCTATGCTGCTGACTAAATCTGCTTTAAGAAGACTCCTGCTAAGATGCCTTCGCCTTCCTCACCAGGCATGCTCCCAGGCTGGCAATCCCAGGCTTCCACAGTGGAACCCAGACAACAGGTCCAGCCCCACCTCTTGCTACGTGCATGTCCTTCCTTTGGTCTCCTGGTCACCTGGCCCCTCCAGCACACTTCTCTTGCTTCCCACCACCACACCTTTGATGTGCCCTCTGCACAGCAGACTTTCTGGAGCCTCTCTGGATGTTCAAACACTCCTCTGGACTAGATCTTGGGGGCCTCTGGGCTTGCCTACCACCTGCTAAAGATCCTCGGAGTAGGTCCTTGATGTGAGTTGGACCGCAGAAGATCTACTGTGCATCCAATATGGGAAGACCAGAGACCACTGGAGCACCTGGCTCTGAATGCACCATTTTGCACACTAAGGTGAAACCCTCAAGAGGGTTAAGCGTCCCTCAGCAAGTCTGCCTCTCTGAGCCTGCGTATACAGCTGCAAGAAAAAGCATTGCATCCCGGCCAGTGTGGTTCAGTGATCACAGCATCAGCCACAGACCAGTCCTAGCTTTGATTCTTGGTCAAGGGCACATACCTGGGTTGCAGGGCCACAGAGAGGGAGAGATAGAAGCATCAATGATGAGAGAGAATCATTGATTGGCTGCTTTCTGTACGCCACACACTGGGAATGGAATCCACAACCTGGGCATGTGCCCCTGACCAGGAATTGAACTGTGACCTCCTGGTTCATAGGTCGACACAACCACTGAGCCATGCTGGCTGGGCAGCCTAAGTGAAGCTTTTAGAGCTTGGCACACAATTCAGGCTAAGAGTTAGCTAAGACTCTTAACCACTCTGCTATACTGTCTCTAAGGGTACTTCAGAATGAACCAACCATCACCCATGTTTTAGAAATGCCAGCAGCCAAGAATGGAGAAGTGATGTGGCCAGTCCTGTAGATGCCAATGCTGGGGCCAGGTCCCTTGACTGTAAGTGTCTGTGAATTTACCAGCGTGTAGAGGAGAGGGAAGGGAAGGGAGGGAGATGGAGAATTAAACTTCTTCTATTTAGTAGAAATACAAATAAAATAATTGCAGAGAGAAATGTGGCTGCATCAGGGCAAGGCGGAAGCAGGAAGTGCAGTGCAGGGTTGAAATAGTTAAGCTCTGGAGGCAGCCTGTGCTGCCCACAGGAACACCAGTTCTATCACATCCAGGTTGTATAAAGTCGGGCAAAGCACCTGACCTCACTGAGCCCCGGGTCCCTGGTCTGTGAAATGGACAGCGATGCCAGATGTCACGGGGCTTAAACGCAGTCGTCTCTCTAAGTCAGTGGTTCTCAACCTTGGCTGCTCATTAGAATCACCTGGGAATCTTTTTAAAATCCTGATTTCTGGGCCTCATCCTCTGGAAATTCTGTTTCTTTGTTACTAATGTTGTGGCCCCACCCCTAACAGAGTGACAACATGTCCTACAGGAGGCAGAGAGCTACAGGAGAGGGCAGGGAACAATTTGTTCTGGGGTGAGGCCCAGAAATCAGGATTTTAAAAAGATTCCCAGGTGATTCTAATGTGCAGCCAAGGTTGAGAACCACTGCAAGTATTAGCCCAGCAACCGGTGTGGAGCAGATGCTCAATAAATTGCAGCTGCTGTTAATTACTGGTCTCTGTTCCCAGTCATGTGCATTCACTTCCTGCAAGCGAGGTGCAGCCTGGGCAGGAAAACGTGGCTTGTGTGATGACTCGGTTAGGAGATCTGAGGCTTTAAGATCTGATTCAGCCAGTAACCTGCTGGGTGACTTGGCTAAGTCCCTTCTGCTCTCTGGGCTCCAGTGGTGCCATTGATAGAATAAGTGGATGGAATGGGAGACACGAGATCCCGCCCACTGCTCACATCACATGGGTGATGTTTCTGACTTCCTCCAGGAAGCCCGGGTACGTGGGCAAGCACTGGATGACCCTGAGACTGGACGTGGCCCCTGCCTGCGGAGGCACTGTACCCGAGAGCTATGCTGTGTCCACAGCAGAACCCGTCAAGGCAGCAGCACGCCACTGGTGGCAGAAAGGCTTCTACAGCCACCCTCTGTGACCCACGGGAGGAACCGAGGGCATGTGGATCCCACTCCCACGCTCCCTCTCTTGCCCCTGTTGAGTTGCTGAAACCCACCATTAAGTAATAACTTCGTACACAAAATCACTTCAGGCTTTTCCTCCCCTGCACCTCCCAGAGACCCTGTCCCCATCCCGAGATGGCCCACTCCCGAATTACCTACAAACAAGAACTGAGCCTGAATCCTCACCTCAGACAGCTCAGGAGCACCTGTGTGGGATTAGTGCTGAGACAATCAGGCTTCTCGCCAGTCCCCTGGGCACGAACCCATGCACCCTGCCTTTGCTACCTGACTGCCCTGGCAACCTCTGGGCCAAGCATCGGTCAACACCACCGCCTCTCGCAACTGTAGGCAAGCACCGAGCCTCCTGAAGTTTCCTTCCTCATCTGGCCAATGGGCATATAGTGTCTTTTTCAAAGGTTTAGAGTGAGTTGTCAAAATAAGAGAAACCCTGTAACACTGGTTTGGCATCCGGGGAACACTTAACGAGAAAGCTGATATTAGGAAGGTTCTTTGTCTTGGTTTACAAAGATTCATTCTAGAACAAACGGTCCAATAGGGTAGCCACTACACAAGTGTGGGCTGTTTACATTTAAAACTATAGACGACGTCATATTTCGTTGCTCAGTCACATTTCAGTGCTCCACAGCCACGCATGGCTAGTGGCCACCATACTGCGCAGTGCAGCTATGAGCGTTCACCATCACAGTGTGACCAGGCAGCGCTGGTCTAGAGGATCCATATAGTCTACAGATTTATTGAGCGAGAGGTCAGGTCTCCCTGTGGTTCCACTGATCTCCCCCTCCCACCCCCCACACACCCTGGCCTCACGCATGCTGGACGCTCCGTCTCTGACTTTCTGGGGTAACTTTGCAGCCATCGCCTTTGTGTTTAGCTCCTGTAAGAGCCCACTTGGAGCATTGGGAATCATCCTCACTAGACGTGACCTCACAGGTGGTCTGGTTCACTTGCACTACACCCAGGGCTGCTGGGTAGGGGCCACAGGTGTGCTGCACCATTTCAGGGGATACTCGTAGACATACACTGCTTTCATGGACCCCACCCGCATGTTGTGTCTGAGGAAACTGAAGCTTAGCGAGTTAAGTAACTTGTCCAAGTCTCCCCGCTAGTAAGGTGGTGGAGCCAGGATCTGAACTCTGACACCAGGCCTAGCATCATCCTGGCTCCCAATGAACCAACCAAGTGGAGGGTTTACTTGTTAATTTGCTCTTGTGGCAGTGGGAGAGCGAACACGCATCTCTCCTACGACAGGCCCCGTCCTCTCCCCCAGGGTCTGAACTAGTTTGGAAGGCCAAGAATTCCTGCTCGTACACGCTATTGGGTTTAAGATGCTCCGGGCCGTACATTTCTGCGCGTTTACAGGCAGCAAGAGGGGATCTGAGGTGAATACTAGATTTGGCTCCCAGTCCCCGGGGCTGAGGGCAGAGGAAATTCATTTGCAGTACAAACCAGAAACGTCAATTGTATTAGGAGCCCATTTGGCAGGCGCTCCCTCATTCTTTGAGCCGACAAGCCATACCCTGCTCCTTTGCGTCTAGCCTCTCCGCCTGCTGCCAAACTGAACTGCTTGAGTCGTCTGATACATCTACATTTCCCTCTCCTTTAAGTACAAACTGGCCATGAAAGGTACTTGGCAAGCCCCAGGCAGACTGGGTTTCAGTTTGATAACATGACCGCGGCCAGAATATTATTTGGCTCAGTAGTCGGGGTAACGGTCAGCAACAGTTTTATGTAAGGGAGCGAGAGGGAAGTTGATCGGCCTGCATGAGGCCATGGTAATCTCTGGCCTTAGCCTGTGCCAGCCCCGGCTTCTGCTTCCCTGGAAGTCAAGGATGGGAATGACTTGGCACACACATCCCTCAGTGGACGCTACCAAGGATCTTCAGGGAGTGCCTACTGAATTCAGTCCGTCCACAGTTGGGGGGACCTGGGTTCTGATTCTGACTCCACTGACCCCCGCTGTGTCACCTTGGGTGGTTGAGGGACTTCTCTGAGTCTCGGTTTTCTGAACTGGAAAATGAGGTGATTGGCCTGGATGTTCCCAGCAGCGCTCTGCCCTGCCCTCTCATTTCCCAAGCCCCTACTAGGTGCCTGGCACTGTCCCCAGTGCTGAAAACATTTCCCAGCCTGGAGTGGGAGGTGGGGCGGGGAGGTGAGGTGGGAGCATAACATGGATTTCAGTGTAGTGTGTCCAGTGCTGTGAAGGAGGACCCTGAGAAGGGCACTGAGCCCAGCAGTGCGAGGGACATCAAGGCAGGGTCCCTGGAGGAAGGGGTCCTGAGCTGAATCGTCGAAGGTGGTTAGTGAGGCAGCTGGAAAGGGTGAGAGATGGCCGAGGGGAGGTCATTCTTACTGGTGATAGAGGAAAGGTCTTGAATGCCACCCTGAGGAGTTAGGGTTGAATCCTGAGGGAAATGGGAGTTGCTGGTTCACCAGCCTTTACGCTGGGGAGCCGTCATGATCAGATTTATGCTCCAAACAAACCACTCTGGCTGAAACGTGGAGGAACAGTGGAGAGGCCAGGGCACAGGCGCAGGGAGGTAACCAGGGAGCTTCCTGGTAGCCCAGGAAAGAGATGGTGGTGGCCTACGTTAGGGTGGAGGCACTGGAGATAGAGGAGGACTTAGGATGTCTTGGAGTGAGAATGGGTTGGGCTTGGTAATGGCTTGGCAGAGGGGAGGATGGTGGTTTGGCAGTGCCTGGTATTTGGTGGCCAACAATAAAGACTCGTGAGGACTGGCTGGAGGTGGAACCTGCACTGGGCCCAGGTGGCAGGACACTGGCCTCACCTAGATGAATACCCTTGCACACCTGGGAGACACGGGGCTTGGGGTGCAGCCCTAACAGGTTGGGTCTATGAAGGTGGAATTCCTTATAGACTTTGGTCTTCTTTGGAGCTAGCTTGGCCTCTCATTTCTTTCCCATTCTTGACTCCCTACCTGTCTTCCTGGGGGTGTAGGGGAGGTATGTGTAAGGATTAAGGGCAATTAATTCACAGAATTCCAGCAGAGGCCGGCAGGCTGTTGGACTTCCTCTCGATTACAAGTGGACTAAATAAAATCCAATCCCTGCCATCTCCTTCTCTTCTTTTTTCTGAAGTTTTCTCAAAACTGCATCTTTAGTCTAAATATGGTTCCCTTTCTCTTTATGCTTGAAGAGTCTTCTGACTTTCAATACTTCAGGGACCAATGTCATGATGCTGGTGGCAGACAGTTGGCCAAACAGCCTTGGTCACTCCTATTAGAGTCAGTTCACTTTGATTAAATTCATACTCTGGGATTGCATATATGATTTCATTCGTCAGCGTTCCAATACTAAAGTATTTTCAGAGTTAAGGATCTCAGAACAAATACAATATGGCATTGCAGGGAAGAAAACAAGGTTCAGAGAGGTTACAAAGAGCATTCAAATCCAATTTCTTAACCTCTGCACTGGTGATGCTGCTACTGCACACACCTGGCATCTGGAGAGAGTCCCCTGAAGGAAGTGGTTCTTGAACTACAGGCTGGTCATGGGTAAGCAGACAGGAGGTGGACCCGAGTATTGATCTTAAGGTCAAGGAGTCTTACCTGGGCGGCATCACTGTCTTCACACCTGATCCGGCACTCGCTGTTGAACTGGAAGCCATCTGTGCACTGGTAGAGCCCGTGGAACTTCGGTGGAGGCGGGTCACATGTCACAGGAACACAGGCTCCCTCCTGCCAGCTGCCATCTTGGGTACACTGAGTCTTGAAGGCGCGCCTTCAGGGAAGAGATAAAAGAAGAAGCATCTCAAGGACCAAATCGCTAGAGCCATGCTCTACCCAAACTCCCAGGTGTCTCTGAGGGCAGCTGCATTTCTCTCCTGGCTCCCTACCTGTCCTGTGGGCTTGAGAGGGGGCATGTGTAGGGATTAAGGAAAATTCACCCATAGAACTCCTTTAACAGGAATAAGCTGGAGTTTCAGATTTTGTCACAGACACATATGGACTGAAATAAAATCCAAGCCCGGATGGGTGGTTTAGTTGCTTGGCACATTGTCCCTTGCACCAAAAGGTCATGGCTTCGATTTCCAGTCAGGGCACATGCCTAGGTTGTGAGTTTGATCCCCATTGGGGCACATATGAGAGGTAACTGATCTATGTTTCTCTCCCCCCCCTCTCAAATCAATGAAAAAAGCATATCCTCTCATGAGGATTAAAAAAATTAAAATTAGTTTAAAAAAAGGAAAAGAAAATACAAACCTTACTAGTCCCCGTCTTCTCCCTTCCTTCCCGAGCTCTCTGATTGGTGCTGACACTGATGACGTTAAACCCACTATTTATTGAACAATTACTATGTGCCAGGCATGTGGCAAGCACTTTACATACACATCCTCATTTATTCTGCCCACCACCCTACGGGGAACTCTTATTATTGGCTTCATCTTCTTGTTGAAAAATAGAGGCCCAGAGAAGGGAAGTCACTTGCATGAAGTCACACAGCCAGTAGGCAGGTATTCACAATGTCCTTCAAGATTCCCGTAACACAGAAGGGGTTTTGCCTCCAGCAAAGAAAGGAACCCTTGCTTCTAATCAGACAGCAGACTCAGCTCTGCTGCTCCCCAGAACCTGCCCCACTTACTTCTTTGACTTCCGAGAGGCGCCGGGCACGTGGTATCCAGGCTTGCACTTGTACTTGCAGAAAGAGCCCACCTTGTGCTTGTTCTCTCGGCACCTGGCGGTCTGCAGGTCTGCATTGGGCACCGGGGGCGGAGCCAGACACATGAGCTCGCACAGGGCCTCCGGGAAAGACCACAGCCCGTCCTCCATGCAGGTCAGGAGGCTGTTGTTGCCTGGAAACAACAGACAGGCAGGGTTAGCCGACAGGGGTCTGACAGTTGAGCTAATTCAGGGGCTGCCTGAACTTATGCCAACCTGAAGAACCAGCGGGTCTTCCACGTGTAATGCCAGACCCTTACACGTACAGCCGGGAACTTTGGGAGATGGAGAGAGCCGCTCAGAAGGAGCCCAGCTTGGGGGGTGACTTATCTGTGTCCACTGTGAATTGAGATTGAAGGCTCCTGACTGCCACTCCTGGACCTTTTTTCTGCACAGGAAAGAGACCTCCCCCCACCTTTGCTTTGCCAGGTGGACCTCTGAGCCCAGGGTCAGAAGGCTTTGCCTCCTAATAACTGGCAGAGTAAGCTCCTGCCGAGTCTACTGAGGGCTTTGACCCAGTGTGCCGCGTGACCTTGAGCTGCGGCTCTGCACCGGGCCCTGCGCCCTGTTCATTCCGCTCCCCTTGTGCCTGGTAGTGACAGCATTGTGGGATCTGAAGGTCTGACTCTCTCCGTCCCCAATGTTCCTGATGTCCTGCCAGAACAGGCGGGAGAGCAGCACACCCCCCGCAGCCCGTGCCAGCTCTGCCCGCCGTGCTGACGGCCACCCGGAAGCTGGCCGGACGGAGATGTTGCAAATAGAAGTGAAACCGGGGAGTCCAGCATCTCCCTGCCAGGTCGTATATTATCAGCACAGCCTGCCCCAAGCCTCCCCAGGACAATGAGAGATGGACCCAGCACTTGGGTTTCTCAATCACACTCTCCTCCTCTGGGGTATTACTGAACAGTGTTGACAGCAGGGCGGGGAGCACGGAGGCTCTGGGATTTGGAGGTTGGAAGGTCTAATCTGAAGGGGGCAGGGCGGAGTGATGGGCTGAGCTGAGGTTACTATGTGCCGACCGCTCTGATGTGTAATCTCCCGTGTTCTCAAGCACTGCTCCTGGTCTGACACCTTCAATTTGGAAACAGACTTGGAGAGGGAAGTGACCTAAGTTCTCACAGTCAGTGAAACTGCCCTTCAAAACCAATGTTGTGTCACTACAAGACGGTGATTGCTTTTAATGGGAAGCTGGCCCTATATGCTCAGCAGAGCCCTTACTAGCTATTCTGAGAGGCAAACCCCAATATCCCATCTACAGAGAGAAAACAATTGCTCCTGCCCTTCCTGGTGATGAGAAGATACAATGAAACAACCTTTATGAAAAGTGTCCAGAAAATGGTATCAAACTCCTTATTTCCTCCCTCCCTCCCTCCCTTTCCTCCCTCCTAACCCTCTGCCTGCATTAGATCTGAAAGGACTCTGTGAATTGCACAGAAGCTTTCATTTATTCAATAAGCATCTACATAGCGCTCACTATATGCCAGCTACCAACAGAGCAGCGGACAAAACTTTAAAAAGGAGCCTCAACCCCTGCCCTCTGGGAGCTTATACTCTCCTTGGATAGGGAGGAACACCGTAAGTTATACCAGGAAGTAACTTTTCTGGTGTGATGAAAGCATTGAGCCCTATGGAGAGAAAGCAAGCAGGGAGAAGGAGGAAGAGAGAGTCCTGTGCAATTGTGCGTAGGCTCCTCTGCTCCCCTCCTTCCTGTCATTGTCAGTGTCAACCATCTGGTGAGCACAGATAATTTAGTGTCTGTAAACCCCAGAGGACCCCACGTCGATAAACTGTGATGCTGCAAAAACAAACCACAGCTTTTTCTACATTAACTAAAAGGCATGAGGGGTATGGAAGGAGGATTCACTGGGCTTCCTGCATTGCCTCTGTGCTTGGGGCTGTGGTGCGGGGTGCCCATGCATAGCAAACGCTTGGGAGGAAGAGGCGTTATCAAAGATCTGCGGAGAGCACCCTCTCTATATTCCCCAAGGAGGATAAAATATCTGTGAAGAAAGTGTTGGGACTCTTAACAGTATCCCACATCTGCTATGCAAATCAAAATTGTGAAATGGATGGTGTGGTTCCTTTGTGGCCAAGATAGCACAAAACTGCAAAATGTTAATCAGAAGAGAAAAAATGCACACCAGGAATGTGAATTCTGGGACAGGGTAAACAGGCATTAACAAAGGAAGAAGCCCGCTAAAGCAGGGCCTGGTGATTCAGGACCATGGACATGCCCCCACCCACATCAAACACAGCCCAGGAGAGGCAGACACGGAGCTGTGCGGCATCGGTATTTCCATGGCAGCTGCGGCCGCTCCTGTGCATGTGGCTTTGAAAAAATGTAGGGTATGACACAGGCTGCACATGTCCTGCCTGCATCACTGGGCCCTGACCTCTCTACTCTGAAGGGTGTTTACTGTACCTGAAACTCTATCTATGCAGAGGCCCTTTCTCATGGGCATGGGTGGGTGTTCTGCCTGCACGCAGGGCAAGTTCACAGTCCTACGGTGTCAAGGACCCTGTAAGTAGCACTCAACCGGGGATGGAGGTGGTGGACTCACAGGCTGGCCTCCAGAGCTGCAGAGGGAACATTCTACCCTCACTCCTCAGAAGGATGAGCGCTGGCTGCCCACAGCAGTAACTGGCTTCAGAAGAGACCCCTGATGCTACCCTCACTTCCACACCTCCCTTTCTCCTTCCCCTGCCTGAGGTCCCTAGGGCAACACTAGCTGCAAAACACTGGGTGAAGGTCACTGGGTGTAGGACACTGCGTGAAGGACACTGGGTGTAGGACACTGCGTGAAGGACACTGCGTGAAGGACAGTGCGTGAAGGACACTGCGTGAAGCCTGGCTTTCCCTGCGGGGGGAAGAGTGCTGATGTCAGAGATTGGCCTCCAAACAGTTCTGTGATCCTGACCTTCCTCTGTTCATCATTTAAAGTCAAGAGGGTAGAAATTTGCTTGGCCTATATCTACAAGTGTGCCTGAGGAAGTTTCCATCTCTAATGAGTATTAAAGTAATTATAAACAGTGTCAAAAGCGATGTGTTTTTATTATTTTATTAAAAAGAATATTCAGAAGACCAAATCTCTTTGGAAGTGCCTTTGAGATTAAAATTATCCTAGAGCATATTCAAGGAAGGAGGGCCAGGAGATCCAAGGTGGGGTTCATTGTACATACATGGTGTTGGTACTGCCCACATCCTAAGGGCAGGGAATACATCCTACTCATTCTTTTATTTCTGGAACATAGCCAAGCGCACAATAGGTCTTCAATATCCATTTGTTAAGTGCATGAAGTATTATGAATCTACCTGTGACCCTGAACTAGTCAACTAACCTCTTTGGCCCTAGACCAGAGCTTCTTTGAATTCTTACCCAGCTTGAACATTTTAGGATGTGAAAGGCCATATACTGGCTACTGTATTGTTTTGAGAAAGCTGCAGCTAGTGAGGACAAATAAGCATGCAGTCGGCTGTGTCAGCCAAAGACTGGTGCCGGTGGCATTGGGAAGAGATTGTTTTATTTTTCTTGGTAAGAAACAGAAGTCACAGTAGAAGCAGCGGAAGAAGGACAAAGAGCACAGTCGTGGTGTGGACCCACGACACCCTCGACTCTGCTCTCTTCAGAATCCTAGGGTGATAAAATTAAACATCTTAGGAAGTGTAGGAAAGCTCCTATTAAGAGGTGACCTGGATTGTGAGAAGGTGCCAGATGAGAACCATGGGATAAAGCTGAACCCTCCAGAGCCTGGCTATCTGCTTCAGAAAAAGATGGAAGGGTCTTTGCCGGAGAAAGGAGAGAGAATTTGGAATTCCTAGAGGGAGGGAAGCTGTGGCAGGATTCTGAAGGGAGAGAGCAAGGCGAGGATCAAAGAGCTGAGAGCAGGCGAGAAGGTTAATTCCTGGGCACTGTAGGACGTGGCCAGTCTCCCTGTCCAACCAACTCAGTCCCGTCAAGGTGCTCGATGGTATCATGGGGTATCTTACAGAAACTGGTGGATAGACCGAGTTTTAAATCTGAGGTTAGAGAGGCAAAACTGGGATAGAAAAGGCAACCAGAGCCAGAACAGAAAGCAAGTCTTTTAAAAAGAGTTTTGTAGGATGAGGGCACGCTCACTGTAGACACCCCACTCCATAGTCAGTTTCAAGTGTACCCAACCTAGTTGAGTTGAGAGGATGTAAGTTATGTTGCAGTTTTGGCCATTCCATAAAGCACTCATGATTTTGATTTTGAAGTTTTGTGTTTTTTTGAACTTGAGAATATTTTTTCCCCTCGTGCATTTCTGTAGGTTCTGTCAGTGTGAGACTGTCTGTCTGGTGTTTATTGGATAAAGGAAGGACCTTGGCACAAGTGATTCTAAGGTGTGGGTTCCTGGGATAGGTGGCGTACATCCTGAAGAGGGCTTGGAATCTCACTGAAAGGCAAGAAAAATTCACCTGGAACATAAGGGGCAAGTGGGTTTGTGGCTAATGATAATTCTTCATCAAAGGGATTATGTGTCACGCAGGTTCCCAGGTGCACTTGGCTGCTTATCCTAGGTGGTGGCTGTGCTTCCCGAGACACTCACCTCCAGGTCCTGGGAGAAGCAAGGAGGGTGGAGCCTGTTGCCCAGCTGTCAGGACTCAGTCCCCCGGAACAAAGAGGAGAGGGGGCAGCCTCTGCACAAGGGTGACTCTTGGGGAAGATGAGTATTTCCCAAGCACGTTCTCCGCTCTGGCATTTTATACCTGCTACCTCTTTCACTCCTCAACCTGGCCCTTTGCCGGGCACTCTTTAGCCTATTTTACAAACGAGGGTACTGAGCTGAGCTATGGGAAATTGCTCACCTAAGATCAAACAATTGGAACAGAACCCCCTAGAATCCTGGTCCATTTAATTCTAAAGCCAATGCTCTCTTTGCTTTAACTACATTGCAGGGAAAGGAACAACAAACGGAGGGAGGGAAGAAAGGGAAGCAAACTAAATAATGGAGGGAAATTGTTCAGGTCAACTCTTTACCCCATGAGACATGAGCAAGCTAAAGAGAGAGATGGCAGGGCCTCTGCCTGGCCTTGCTGCCAGCAGCTCCAAGCAGAGGGTCACCCCTGGAGTTTCAGCACCAGGTGATGCTAAGTGACCATGGGTCCTAGTGGGTCAGTGTGGCCACTGGGGAGATGCTTCCCTGCATTCTGAAGGGAAGGGCAAAGTCGGGATCCACCACGATCAACTCGATGGCCTTTCTGGGGCCTCATGTGCACAGTACAGCCCCTGCCCCTCCCATGTCAGCACAGACGCAATGGCAGGCGGGTCTGAATCCCTTTGATGAAGAATTATCATTAGTCACAATGAGGGGTATAATGATCAATGACCAGCGGTTCTCAGCCTTGTGGGTTGCGACCCCTTCGGGGGTCGAACGACCCTTTCACAGGGGTCGCCTAAGAACATCGGAAAACACATATATAATTACATATTGTTTTGTGATTAATCACTATGCTTTAATTATGTTCAATTTGTAACAATGAAATTGGGGGTCACCACAACATGAGGAACTGTGTTAAAGGGTCGTGGCATTCGGAAGGTTGAGAACCACTGATCAATGACAATGTATGCACCTCCCATCCCCAGGAGCCTCTGATTGACATGGGTGAGTTCCCAGCCAGAAGTTAGTAATCTACCCCACATCTGGGCAAATAGGGCCAAGAGAAGGGCTCAGGCAGCCTGAATGGCAGAGGTTTACCATTTCTACTGTTCTTGTCACCTTTCTCAGGTCAAATCTTCTTAGTACTCAAAAGAACTTTGAGTATATAGCTTTTTGATTCAAATCTTCTTGAGCTAAAAATGAGGGGACCTAAGGAATTCATCCTCAAAACGTTCCCTGCTTTTCATTTGGGGCACTTTAGTGAGAATGCTGTGTCTTTCATTCATTCTTAAATATTTCCTGTGGTGTTATCATCATCAATTCATCCAGCCATCCACTCAATGTACTTTATGGAGTCTCACTGTGTACAGGCCCTGAGTTCGCTGACAGCAACGCTCAAAGGAATTACACACATGGCCACTGCCTTCCAAGGACTCAAGTCCACTAGTCTTTTGAAGCTAGGTATCCCCTTGAAAATTTGGGGAAACGATTGACCCTCTTTGACCGTCAAAATGCCTGAGACTTAATAGTACACATTATATCTAAGCTTAAGAGAATTTATAGATCTCCCTCCAAGCCCTCATACCCCACAGAAGTCTACTCTCACACACTCTACAGATGGACCCCAAATGGCCGCTGATAAAGGGGCAATGTTTCCTCCAATAAACCAAGCAAAGAAGAGGGTCCTGGCCCCTCTGAGGACTGGGCACAACGTCAACTCCAACACTCGGCTGGAAGCCAAGCGCATGTACCCTGATCATGCGGCTAACCTGCTCTGTGATTTTGCACAAATTCCTTCCTCCCTCTTGCTGGACCTCAGCTTCCCATCTTCCCAATCATCGGTTATTCCTATGAGCTCAAAGAGCCCTTTTTATCCTAGGATACCCAGCCTCTCCCTCCTTCCAAACATGGCCTCTACTTCAGGTTGCCTGATGATGTCTTATCCAGCCCAGGAGAGGCCAGTCATCGCCTCCTCCTGCACCTGCTCCTCTCCCCAGCCGGCCTTTCCTAAGGGTGGCAGTTGGCTCTGGAGAAAGATGAGACCTGTGGTCCAATGTGAACCCCGCCATGAATGAGGTGGCCTTGGACATTTCCTCCTCTGTGACCGTGGGAATAGTACTAATACTGACCTCTTAGGCTTACTGGGCCCTCACCATATCCAGAGCACTAGTCACATCCCTTCCA